TAAATTGGCGAACTTGCAATAATATGCGTGGCATCCCCAATATGTAGAAAAAGTGTATCTAAAAACTATATACCCTACACCACTTTAGTGGGGAGGGTATATTGGGTTTGTGCTGATGTTTGTAACATACAAAAATATTCGTCCTATACCCACCTTAAAGAATACCAATCGGCTTAGAATCGTTTTCTGATTCGAATTGGATGAAATTTGCCATACAAGCCAAGGACGACGAAGCCTATTGAAAATGGTTAAAATCGGTCCATTATTTCACCTAGCCCCCATATAACAGAACCCCACGAAAAAGGCTTCTGAGCTCATAATTAGGTTAAAATATACCTGTATATCGATAAAAAGTGGCAGAACTAAGTTTTATACAAGCCTTGATGACCTTGCCAAATTTCATAAAGATCGGGCCTCGTTTAACCCTAGCTCCCATACAAAGTTCCCTTCCGAAAATTACTTGAATGTCCAAAATTAACTTATAAACACAAATTCGAGATGAAATTCAGCACAAATAAATATTATATAAATATAACAATATTTACAAAATTTTATGGGGCTTGGTCCTTATTTGCATCTAGCCCTCATATAAAGCCTCTTTCAGAAAATTAGTTTTTCATCCATAAATTGCTTAAATGTATCGGAATAAGGTAATATTGAAGATAAATGCATTATTATGAAAAATAAATCACATTTAATATTCATAACTGGTGTAGGGTATATATATATATCGGTCACGCCCGACTATACATTCTTACTTGTTTTTTATATACATTACTTTTAGGGTAGCAAAGAGTATAGCTAGTATTATATAAAATCGTGTTTAAATTGCTGCGAAAAAATTGTAAAAGATTTAAAATATTTAAATCTTAGCTTGTTCTATTAGAAAAGATAAGAAATCCTATTTCCACAAATATTTGATTAACTAAAAGGTTATTAATATAGAAAGAATGAGCTTAATACCTCTCATAGTTGTACCGTACCTGTGATGTGAATTTGAAGGATTTCGGGAAAAAGGCAATTTTTGCCAATAATTAAGTAAAAATTATATTATTACCAATTGTTGCTTAATTTTGATCAAGTAAATTGCGATTATTATTTCTGAGTCCATGGAAAGTTAGTTCTGATCAAATTTCCGAAACTAAAAATCATTAACCCTCTAAATACCGGGGTCAACATCAAAATTTTGAATATTTTATGTTCTTGAAGAAATAAGAGCATGATGTTGTTAATTTGTTGATGGATATTGATTAAACTTCTTAGAAGTTATTTTTACTACATTCAAATAATGCGATAAACCAAATACTGGATATATATCCATTAATTCTTTAAGAAAATTAATTTTAAAAAATTCCTTTTTAAAAGTGTTTTTTGTAGTGTTTAAAAAAATCGGTCTTAAATTGACCCCAAGTATGACAGAGGGTTAATTTTTGAAGAAGTTTGATTCCTAGATTTCTGGATATATTTTCGTGTAGTTTGTCAAACTGAATTCATAATTAAATACACAATATTTTGCTATTTTTAATGAAGAATATTAAATATACAAAAACTTGATTTTGACCCCGGTTTTTAAAGGGTTAATGATTTTTAATTTCGGAAATTTTATCAGAAATAACTTTTCACGGACTCGGAAATAATAATCGCAATTTAATTGATAAAATTATGCAACAATTGGTAATAATATAATTTTTACTTAATTAATGGCAAAAACTGCCTTTTTCCCGAAATCCTTCAATTTCACATCGCAGGTACGGTAAAACTATGAGAAGTATTGAGCTCATTCTTTCTGTGTTTAATTCTTATATATATCCTTTATAATATCCAGTATAGAAAATTTTAATTTTTAAAAATCCATTTAACAAAATTCTTTAAAGTTTGAAAATGGAGTTTTGGAGATGCTGCTAAAATAATGGCCCTTTTTTGACCACAGACTAAACCAAGTAAGCGTTATCCAATTTGAACAAAAATTCGTACTAGTACATTTATGAATCTTATAAAGATAAACATAATATTTGTTTGTAAAATTTTTCAAAACTAAAACAAATTTTCTTATATATGTCTTCAGAATCACAAAATTCTCGGGGGAAATTTTTCAACCATTTTTTAACCATTTTTTTTTTCTTGGAAAGACAATTTTGTAGACATTACGATTTTGCTATAAAATTGTGCAATAATTAATACTTAAAGCCTCAAGTATCAAAAAAGTGCCATTTTTCCCATATAAATGCATTTACAAACTTTGGCGGCGATGCGCGGGCTCTTACCCTCAAAATAATTGAATAATATTTTACAGTCTTCCATTTGACGTTAAAATACAACAAAATTTCACTATTAGAAGTTGATCCGAGCGAAAATCCTATTTTCGACCCACCCTAGTATACATGTCTAAGAGAAGGTTTGGACTACACCATAGTGTAGGACTTTTTTGTTCTCTCTTGTTCCTAGGAGTTATGGACAGTGTGACCATTTTAGCAGCTAGTTTTAGTATTTTTTATTTTGATTTAGCTGTAAAATTTTAATTTAGCATTTGGCATTTCATTTTGCATTTTTATAAAATATTTTTAGCATTATTTTAGTATATAAACAAAAAAAGACAAATTTTTGCAACCATAAATTGCATTAAATATATATTTTGTTCTATAAATGTTCCCAGATGACCAGAAAAGAGTTATATATGGGAAATAGGTTTAACCGGAAAAAATCTGAATTAAACAATAATTAAAATAAAGCAAAAAAATTCATGTATATAAATTACTTACGATTTCACATAAAAGTATCATTTGTTATTTGAAGTTATCGAGGGACTATTTTAAAAACTTTATATTTTCGCCAATACAAGTGAATACTTTAAAATGTTGTATTCTAAAATATTTTTCTGGAACCCAATGCTTTTTAAATTCGAGGTAATAGAAATAATTCAAGATATTTCAAATATTTTTAGAAATACGTACGCTATTTTACAAACTAATACTTTTTGTTTGCTCATGGAATGAAACATAATTTTGGAAAAACCTATGTACGATTGTTAGTTAACATATTTTATTTTTTTCCTATACCAAAATTTTGAGATAAAGAGGTGTTAATTTTTATCATCCTTCAGGAGTTCTTGTTAATTTATTGAAAATGGCTATTGAAAAAAATCAATAATATAAAATTTGGATTTTCTTATCCTACTTTCTATTCTTTTTATTTTTACCAAATTTATAGTAAATTTTGTTGTCACGTTTTTTTTTTTAAATTAAAAAAAAAATACATAAATTTTGCAAATATTATTGAAAATTTATTCCAGAATTACAAATTACGTACATTCTCATTTATATTTTTTCCGAAAAAATCTTGGAAGTATTAGTTATAAACCTGACATGTATTCACCGAGATTTAAGATTATTTCAACGGAATTGTCAATATTTTTGTGACATGAAAACCATTTTTGAGGAAGACAAATAAAATTGTTTATATATTTAAAAAAAAAAAAACTAAAACTCGAAATATTAAATTTTTCCTTCCAAAAACCCATATAGGTTTTATGTAATGAGCAACTAGTGTTATTAATAGAGTTTTAATGTAGTTTTTGCATTCTGAAATATAATTAAATTAGAGACATTACGTAATTGCTAAATTAAAAAATTTTAAATAATTTATAGCATTTCTGTTGTTTTATCTTAATGCCACGGAACTTAATGTTTTTACCCTACACCATGTAAGCCATGTAAGTCTGACCGTCTGGTAAGGTTGAAATTGTCAGAACAATTTTATGATCTTTGCTTTTTTGGTCCCTTTAAAAATGGTTAAAGTCCGTCCTTTATTTTACCTAGCCCCATACATATACAAATGTATAAAGCCTGTCTCAGAAGGTACAATTCAACATAAATGCTTTATTTCGAAAAATAAATCACATTTTATACTCATATCTGGGGTAGTTTATCATATGGTTAACCAGGGCAGAATATATGTAATTCCATATTTGTTATAAATTACAATGATTTACAGTTACAAATTAATATGAATTGTTCATGAAAACACTTAAATGATTTTAGCATTTTTTTGTCATTTTAAAATCAATTTAGCATTTTTTCTAGCATTATTTTGGATGGGATTTAGCCTAATAGGGATTTAGGACTCATAACTACCAGATTTTATTAAATTTAAATGTTTTAAAATACGTAAAGAACTATTTTTTTTCTAGAAGTGGTCTAACAACTACCATATTTTCGGTAAATTCTGAACTTAAAAAAAAAATTTTTTTTTTTTGCTAAAAGTAATAGTTGGGAAGTCATATAATTTTACAAAATGTTGTAACAGTTCATGATTGATCACTCTGTTTGCTGTGATAAAGCTGAAAAAGTGTTGTAATTTTTTTGCTCCCGAGGTTTACTAGTGTTTACTTTCAAATAAGTAACATAACTCCGAATCGGTGTCCATAAAAAAATATGATTTTTGGCCGATATTTCAAAAAATTGTCTCACAGTGCGGCAAAAATCAAAATAAAGAACTTACTTATCTGATTATATGTAAGTCATTATATGATTACTTAAAAGTAATTCAGATGGTAAGTAGTTGTCATTGAAAAGTATGTTGTTGAGTAAGTACAAGTCATTACCAGTACTGAAAACGGACACAAAATGACCGAGCCAAAAATATCAGAAAATGTGCCAAAAATTCAAAAACCTGTTTATACCCTGCACCACTTTAGATAAAAGGAAATATTAGTTTTGTGCTGATGTTTGATTGTAAAGGATACTAGTTGGCTTATAATAATTTTCTGAGTCGATTAAGCCGAATCTGTCCATTCATGTAAACCTTATAATCAACATCAAGTCGCAACCTAGCCCCAAGAATTCCCGCAGGAATTTACTTCAGATTTAGTAATGAATTCTTATCGACTATTTTGAACACATTTCCGAAGTTTAGATAAACAGTTACGATTTTTTCGCAGCCTGCCATACGAAATTGGCAATTTGTGCAGACGATTGATTAGTAGGTTGGTTTTACATACTTACCTACTACTAATAAATGTAAAAAAATTGATGTGGGGGGATGAGTAGATACTTGGCACTCATATATTCCTGCATCACGCTGCTGCACGAATTTTATTTGCAATGTCCAATCCTGAAAAATTAATTAAAAAACATGTTTTTAAGCATTTATAGATCGAATATTTAATATAAATTAGTAAAAATGTATATGTTTGGTATTTAAAAAGAGCAATATCGGTTATTGATTTCATATACATACATATATGTGAAAAACTTACATTGAAAAGTAATGAGTTGAAATGCTAATAAAACCTCTTTTCACTACTTCTTCATTAGCATTTTAGATGGTAATTTTAACGCTAAGTTAAAGTAGTAGTACTTGCAGTTTCGCTTACAAAGAAGTTGTTGAGTAAGTTCTTTTGTTTATAATAATAACAAGTAAGAGCATTATATTCGGCTATGCCGAATCTTATATACCCACCATCAAACCGTATGCCGTAAAAGGAATGTTCCCATATAAACATCAGGGTGATATTTGGGATAGGGCTTAAGTCTATTATGGACAGAGCTTTTTCGATTTAGCAAAATATTATGGACCGATCCTCATAAAATTTGGTGCAGAGATTTTGGCTCGTAGGAAAATCACTTATGTCGAATTTCATCGCTACACTCGTATTGTTTTAGCCAGGAATGAGTGTTAAAGTAATTTTCTAAAGTGGACCTTATATGGGGTGAATTATGGACCGATCCTCAAAAAATTTGGTAGAGAGATTTTAGCTGATATGAAACTTATTTATGTCGAATTTCATCGCTATACTCTTATTTTTAAAAAAGTTATGACTGTTAAAGCTGTTTTTCGGGGCCACTTGTATATATGCGAAAACCTTGACCAATATTGGCCATTTTCAATACCAAATAAACCGTACCTATAGGGAATATTTGAGTAAAATTTTAACGTTCTAGCTCTTTTCGTTCGGACTCTATCGTGTTTTCAACAGACAGACGGGCCACATGACTAAATTGTCTTAGATTTTAATACGTTCTTAGAATATACACTGAATCAAATAAGTCTCCATACAGAATGTATTTAAAAATATAATTTGTAATATTTTCTAAAACATTTGTCCGATTTACAAAAAATTTGTTTTTTATCATAGGTAATAATGTCCATATATAATTGCAAAAATTTTAAATAATACTCTATGTTTTTGTTAATTATTTCTTAAATGCAACACCTCTATAATCAAACTCAAAAAAGTCTCCGTACAGAAGAAAAGTATTAAAAGGATACAGCTCTAAAATGTAACGGTGCATTAAAATGAGGTGTATTCTAATTTATAATGTTGTCTAATGTTGTATTCTAATTTCTAATGTACTTTATTTACATTTAAATGTACGGAGACTTTTTTGAGTTTGGTTATAGAAGTGTTGCACTTAAGAAATAATTTAGAAAAACATAAAGTATTATTTAAAATTTTTGCAATTAAAAAATTTATTAGGATATTATCACCTATGATAAAAAAAAACAAATCTTTTGTAAATCGGACAAATATTTTAGAAAATATTAAAAATTATGTTTTTAACTAAATACTGTACGGAGACTTATTTGAGTCAGTGTATATACTTTTGTGGGTCTATGACCGGTATTTTGATGTGTTAGAAACGGAATGACAAGAATAGAAACTAAATGACAAAAATATACCACCAATCTTTTTTGATAGTGGGTATAAAAAGAGCCAGAGATAATACGAACCAGGGATTTCGGTTTGTTAGTCAAATGTTCTACTCACTGCACCATTGCTTAGCTATTTTCAAATAATGGTTTTCACAACAAATACTGGATGGAGATATTGTGTATTTTCTTTCTAATACTAAAATAAGGAAATCAAAAGATAAAATAATAAATGCAAAAGGAGGAAAGTTTTTAACTTTTTGTAATAAATACGGCTTAGTGATTTTAAAAGGAAGAACGTTAGACCTGGTCCACACTAGAAAACATTTGTTGAGAAACTTTTTCTTAATTCACTTTTGAAAATTTCTTAAACACATAGAAACTTTTGTTTCAGATACTACGTATTAATTGCATTGATTTGTTTTTGTACGAATGAGAAGAATAACAAAACAAGTTTCCGAGTACGATAAATTCCGTACACGCAGAGAAAAAACATGGTTCGACATTGTTGCTACAACTAAATTGTGTGCTTTGTAACAATATATTGCTGTCGTATGCAAATAATAGTTATTTTAAATTGATTTCAGGTATATTTTAGTTAATGTAAAAATTCTTATTTTCATTGCAATAACAACTTTGAGTATGGTTCACTGAAACATGGTTATTTTTCCAACATCTAAATAATAATAACCTTAGAAACATATTATATTATGTACGCCCATTTAAACTTATAAATAACTATTAAATTTTAAGTTTTTATGTGTCTATCACAATATTTAAAGTATAAACAAAATCTGTTTACTTTTAACAATAAAATTATTTTTTTAAGCTGTATTTATTTAAAATTTTTTTTTAGATATTCTCATTAACTTGTATTGTAAATTTATGTTAATTATTTTTAAGAGTGCATAAGAAAAGGATTTTAAAATTTAAATGTAAATTTTAGTCTAATTTGCATTTTACTTTAAATTTACTTAAACAATTGCATTTATAATGCCCTTGTTGCGACAAAAATTAAATTGTTAATAAGTTACACTATAGTCCAACCGTATTTTGTTTAGCGTTTTTCGTAATTATTTCTCTTACTTATACAAAACAATTCATTTTTAGACACTATGTTATAATAAAACAAAACATTTCATGTTTAGAGAGACCATATCATTTTTTTTTTTTATAACCTTCACCTTCGTGAGAAGGGTATATTTAAGTTTGTCATTCCGTTTGTAATTTCCAAAATATAATTTTCCGACCCTATAAAGTATATATATTCTGAATCCTTATAGATAGCGGAGTCGATTAAGCCATGTCCGTCTGTCTGTCTGTTGAAATCAGTTTTCTGAAGACCCTAGATATCTTCGGGATCTAGATCTTCAATAATTCTATCAGACATGCTTTCGAGAAGTTTCCTATTTAAAATCAGCAAAATCCGTTCATAAACAACGGAGATATAAGCAAAAATCCGAGACAACCTCTGAAAATTTCATAAAAAATAAACAACAACAACACTGCTTATTCATTGCCTTTGTATTTTGTTTTTGTTTTTTTGAGTATTTGGTTTCGTATGTTTGGAAATCTGTTTGTTTCATTGCTTTGTGTATATTGTTTTTGTTTCTTGGTACATTCAATTTCGTATGTTTGGATGGCTGTGTGTTTCATTGCTTTGTGTATATTGTTTTTGTTTTCTTGGTGTATTGAATTTCGTATGTTTGGATGTTTGTTGGTTTCATTGCGTTGTATATTTTGTTTTTGTTTTTTTCTGTTTTTCGTTTCGTATGTTTGGATGTCTGTTGGTTTTACTGCCTTGTGTATTTTTTTTTTGTGTTTATTTCGATTACCGTTGTTGTTGTTCATTATGTTTTGCTATTGCTATAATAATGATATAGTCGGGAAAATGCATTTTTAAATACACTATGGTGAAGGGTATATAAGATTCGGTACAGCCGAATATAGCACTCTTACTTGTTTATATAATTATTTCTCTAAAAAATGCAAGAGACGTAATTTGATAATAAAAACTTGATAATGGAATGCTAACGGCCTTAGTCAACACAAGAATGAAGTAGAACAATTCCTGCTACTTCAGGAAATTGACGTACTACTCGTCTCTGAAACACACTTTACCCTAAAGAATTGTTTCAGAATTAATGAATACTACACTTACGATACAAAACATCCAAGTGGCAGAGCCTGTGGTGGAACAGCCATTTTAGTGAGAAAAAATATTAGACATTTCCCAATGCCAGAATACAAAAAGGACCATATCCAGGCCACCTCTATAAATATACCTGATAGTCGAGTTACAATATCTTCAATATATTGTCCTCCTAGGTATAATGTTAATCGAGAGCAGTTTCTCGAATACTTTAAAACTCTTGGCCCAAGATTCATAGCAGCTGGTGATTATAATGCAAAACATACATTTTGGGCCTCTCGCCTCATTACTCCCAAAGGCAGACAATTGCTAGAAGCAATATCGTACAACAGACTAGATGCCATATCTAGTGGCCAACCTACCTATTGGCCTACAGACCTCAATAAGATTCCCGATCTAATTGACTTTGCTGTAATCAAAAATATAAAACGAGAATTTATTTCAGTGATCCCTTCATTGGACCTCTCGTCAGACCACTCGCCTACAATTTTAACGTTATTAAAAACCCCAAATAAATTGGAAAACTATTGTTCTTGTTTCCCTAACAAGAAAACGAACTGGTTAAAGTATAAAATGTATGTTAGCTCACACCTGCCACAAAACATTTCATTGAAGAATGACCATGAAATACAATTCGCTGTCGATATATTTACGGATATCTTACAAGATGCTGTCAAAGTGTCTAAACCCCCAGTCACCTTGGGAGACTTCAAAAAATCGAAATGTCATAGGAACATTGAGTCTCTTATTAAAGAAAAGAGAACACTCAGACGTCAATGGCAACAATCACGATCTCCAAACATAAAGGTTAAACTTAATCAGTGCCAAAGAAGACTTCACATCGCTTTAAAGGATAATAAGGAATCTAATCTGAGAAATTATCTCAAAAACTTAGATCCTACTAAGAAAACAGAATATAGTCTCCGGAAAGCTGTTAAAAATATGCAGTGCCCTATTGCATATGAGTCACCTATACGCCTTCAGAATGGTCAATGGGCAAGAAATACGTCAGAAAAAATTGAAGCATTCGCTAATCACTTGGAGAATGTGTTTACTCAAAATGATACAGATTCTTCTATTAGTGCTAACATTATAAATAATGTGGTTCCACACCCAATAAAATTCCGGTTCTCTACCGTGAAGATGACAATCAAAGGTCTAAAGGCAGGAAAATCACCTGGTATAGATAAAATTACTACCACGATGATAAGTAACCTGCCCAATTCAGCACTGAGAATTATTTTGTTCATCTTTAACTCGATGCTACGTATTGGATACTTCCCTAACTCATGGAAAGTATCCGAGATTG